TAGGGAGGGGTTGCTTTTTTTTCAAATTGAGTAGGCCCTGTCTCTTTTTGCTTGTTGAGGCATTGTTGTATCCCTCCGTGCAGTAATCAAGGCTCGTCTTATTTCTGCCCAGGCAACACTTGAGAGAACGAAGTTAGCTTTACTTTACTTTTTTACTTATATCCGCCACTTATACCCTTTTGGGTGTCGCGGGAAGAAAGAGACGTCTCTCTGTCGCCAGCCGGAGAGCTTGGGTCAGGGGGATGCTGTGGGTGGTTAATGTTTCCCTGACTCCATCTATCCAGGTCTTTCTCGGTCGCCCTCTAGCTTTATTGCCATCAAATTTTTTATGTAGGCACGTTGTTAGCGAAACGTGAAATGTCAAAGAGATATAAATCATTTTAAAACAAAAGTTTTCAAGTGGTTATCAAAAGTATGTTTATTTGAACCAAAACAAACAGCATGTTAACAATATCATACACATCTGACCAGATAACAACAAACAAACGTACTTGATAAGAACTATGTACAGTTTTTATCACATTTTTGTGCAAACAACAAAGCGAGAAAATGAAATACAGTACCGGTAACAACAGAACAGGCAGCCTCCTACAGTCAAGTCCGCTTAAACCGTCAGTCCGAAAACAACGGTAATAATTACAACTATTAATAATAATAGATTGCATTTACTTCTGAGGGGTACACCAAAGAAAAAAAATCCCCAATTTTTTTGTTTGCAATTTGAGCAATCTCTGTACCGAAAAACACAGCTAAACCGCAGAAAGTCCAATGGTTCCACACAGTTCGGTTTCTTGGCGCTCATACGACCTTAAGCAGTTACGAGCGCCGTAAAACCTCTACTAATACAAACAGTTCGGTTTAAGCGGACTCCACCATATGACAGTTAATGATAAACACTTGATGCAGCTTATGCCTCGACCACGACGCCAAAGGAATGAATACAAGTGAAAGAAGTGGAATAAATTATCTGCTGGAAAATAAGGGTTAATAATATACAAGTATACAAGTGGTACATAGTACATGGAAAATCTGTTCAATAATAATGTCTGGAGAGTGAGAGAAGAGATACAAAACAAATCTTTACGGGGCCAGTCACTGTTTACAGACTTAACACATTTCTCATCTCTCAATATCAATGGCAGTTTTATACATTTGTGTCATGACGCGGTGGAATCAGGCGCTCCTCAATTTTTGGGTACTCGGAGTTATTGGCATCATCTTCAAGCCTGTTTAATAATCTTGCTTTTGCATTTTTTTTAAAATATACCCATTTACCTTGAATAGAAGTTGAGATAATAATTGTCATTGAAGGGGGTAGGGGTCGCCTGGTTTTAGAGGTCAAATGAACCAGAAAATGACCCCCAAAGTTTGCTGATTTCTAAAGTTTGAGAGTCCTAGGAAACTGATAATTTACATTTTTGGGGCCTTTAAATACTTTAATTAACGGTTTTCTGTAAAATCCACACAGATAAGGATTTTGGAATAATTTAAAAGGCGTCGAGCCAAAAATGAAAAAATTGATAAATATGGCCAAACTCGAGTAAATATACCATTTTCTTCTATTATATTATTTTGACGAGCGCCCGATTTCACCACGATGCATCACATTTCAATTTCCCAACCAAGGATGTGAAGCTATGAGTACATGATATGAAAAGGGTTTGGATTCCTGTCACCCTTTCCTGAACACACGGGGAAATCAGAGCTGTCCCACTACAGCAGGATTTCAGGTTCAAATGGTTACTGTCAGTGATCTATTTATAGATCTATTTATCCTAACGCAGGATTTCGGGTTCATCAAAGGGTTAATGTCAGTGATCTACTTATAGATCTATTTATCCTAAAGCAGGATTTCAGGTTCAAAGGGTTACTGTCAGTGATCTATTTATATTATTGATCTATTTATCCTAGCCTAGTTCACACCTACAGACTTACAAAGCCAGCTCTACTCTAGCGTTGACCAGATGACAAGGACATGCGGTTACTTGACGGAGGCATTGCGCTGCCAACAGCGAAATGCTCGCAGCTAAAGGGATTTGAAAACAACAACAACAACATCCTAGCCTAGTTAACCACCGAGATGCATGCCCCGCCAGTACCCGGTACCTACCGACTGGGATGAACACTGACACTAACATGACATTTGTCCTGTTGTGAAGTTAGCTGACTGGGTTAGTGGGTGGTTGGTGGGTGCTCTGGTGTGGTTTGCTGTTTCTTTCCTATCAAAAATCTATCGTCCTTATCTCCCCTTCTTCTTTTTTATGTTTGTTACTCTCTTGTAACACCTCTAATCTTCTGGCGCTCATTTGACCTTATGCAGTTGAGAGCGCAGTAAAACCTCTACTAAAATTAAACTGACTGGGTTAAACAGGAAAGGGTTCAGCAAAATAACAGTCCAAGAAGAACTGGGGGGGGGGGGGGGGTTGGTGGGATGGAAGGTAGTTAAAGGCAACTGGAATGAATACTGAAATACATCAATGGTAAAGAGAAATTTGGCAAGTAGGTTGATATTACAAATTCATATAATCATAATCCGTCAAAATTTGCCAAATTAAATATGAGACAAAATTAGTCATAAATTCTTTGTATTTCTCGTCGAACGTGAATGAACCCACAGCACCAGACCATTGATACAAAGCGAGAATATCGACAACACACGTACACGATGACAGACGACATCAGTCTCTGACTCAGACCCTGTGCATCCTGTCTTGACTTTTGGTCAAGATTATTTCTACAAGTCACTGGTACGATAAAAAAACCCATCCATTCAACCATGAAACATGTATTCACAATAACAGACGCCAGCTGAGAATGTCTGAAACTGCTACGGTACTTTCATGGAAAACAAACATCATATTTCATAATTTTTGCTCTGCAAACTTTCACAATATCAAGACGTGAGGATTTCTACAAGTACTTTTCATGAATTTTTAAAAAACACCAAAAAACTACCAAATATCAGCCTTGCACAATTTGCCACTCATTGGCCAGAGACATCAATGTTCTACTTTCATTCCGAAACCATAGCAGAAAACAAAAGCGGACTTCTAAATACCACCCCTCCCTTCCAAAAAAAAAATCACTTCTTCATTTCCAAGTCCTCTGTATAACTAATTAGATGAACAAACAGCAAAGCCCGACAGTGTTAATACAAGAAATAAACAATGTTAATCTTTTCTTGAAAGTTCTCACAATCTTGTGCTGTTCTACAAATCACATTCAATACAATGTCAATGTTACAAAAAGTCACACCTTTAGGAGAGCTCTACAAACATTCCATTCAAAGCGAGGGGACAACATGCATCATATTAAAAAACCTTGATCGTTTTCCACAGAAAAATCTAGTTAACAAATTTATGCAAACGTTCGAATCTGCAACTTGGATTAAACATCACAAAAAGTATCGAGGCCTTTCCCCAGTAAATAAAAGGTCTGTGACAGTTTGTATGAAAAAGGCATTTAGAAAGAACCCGCTGACAAATAAATTAAATGCTCTATATGAAAATCATCCGTCCAAGACAATCATCTGTCCAAAACAACCACCTCCCCTTGCTCTTTTTCTATAAATTTGTGAGGCATCGTGGTGAAATCAGGCGCTTGTCAAAATAAAGAAATCAAAGAAACAGGCATTTTCCCGCCAGTTTGGAAATTTTTATTTGAATTTCTGTTTTTTGGCTCAACACCTTTTATGTCCATATATATAAACACATTTTCATGCGAATTTGACTGAAAAACGTTGATTACAGACACAAAATATGTAATTTATCAGATTTCAAGGACTCTCAAGCTATTTAAGTCACCAAACATTAGCGGCAATTTTCTCGCTGATTTTTCCCCTGAAACCAGGCGACCCCACCTCCTTCACTAGCAAATATCTCGACTTCTATTCAAGAAAAATGGGTGTTTTATTTCATAGAAAGTACGGCAAATGAATAAGCTTTTAGATGATACCAACAACTCCACATAACCAAAAACTGACGAGCGTCCGATTTCACCGCGTTGTCACACATTTTTAGAAAACACCATCCCAGAGAAGCACCAGTCTAAGATGACACCTTCTCTCCTTGACAACGGGTGATCGCCTTGGATAGGGTCAACTGTAGGCCTACCTTGACCATCAATAATTTATTTATAGAGGCACCAGCAGCCCATGTCCAGGTGCTGTTTTAGCCGCTGTAGGCCTGCAGCAGCCGAACAACGCAACAAAAGGAAACAAAAGCTTTGATCTGATTGACACTGAAACTGAAACACTGATAAAAACAAAACTCTGAGATAATAATAGGGTTCTCATGTGAATGTCAAAAGTCACTTACATCTATAAAAAATCGGCTGAAAAAACAAAAACATTGACACATTGTACTGCACTGCACTGACCTGAGAAGGAAATATCTCACAGGCAACTACAGAATCAAGTCATGGGTCTCTTGAACAAATACAAAACACAACATGACGATAGGGAGGAAAAATAAAAACATGACAACAAACTTTTCCCTTGCACAGACATAGTTCTGCAATGGTGTTATAATAATAGATAGCATTTGTATAGCGCAAATCCCCGCTCAACAGCAAGCTCTATGCGCTTCACAATCTATACTATTACCCCAGCAGACCTGAGAGCATTCTGAAACTACCTCAACTTCTTGGGAAGCGTACAGTGCAAGAGGCCATTTATCAAATTGTTATCAATCTCATACCATTATTTATTAAATTTTACAGATGTAAATTATAGTTTACCCAGTGCATTTACACTCGGTTAGATCATTTAGGAGGCGGCTGCTTCCACCGTACCAGCCTGGGCCAATCGAGGTCGAGTAGGACACAGCGTCGTCTTTCTTTCACTTTGACCCTCTTTTCTTACAATTCAGTTTTTTTTAACCCATCTGTCCCGTATGTTGTCATGGCGACCAATATGTGGCCCCCACAGAAAGGAGAGACCCCAGAAGCGAGTACTACAAGGTCAAGTAAGTTCCAAATGGAGGGCTAAAGTTTACTTTTACCTTTATGAGAATTAATTACACGAGATGTACAGCTGTACTGTTGCTCTGATATTTTTGTTTTCCCAGTCCATTGCTCTTTTCAAGAGTTGAAACGTTCTTGATGCCCTTACAGTTGAACTACTTTTACTTTTGCACATTACTTCAGCTCAAACTCAAACCCTTGTTAGATTTCACCAAACTTTTTCTCGCACACATTTAGAACACGCAGACACATGACTGACCAGATCACCCTCGGTCCAGAGCCCCTTTAGAAAAGTCGCCAACAAAACGATAAATGCAATTGACCAAAAGGCACTGAATAATGTTCTGCTCTCTCTTCTAACAAGGGTGGAGCTGTATTATATTACATGTGAGTGTGGGTGTGTGTATATGTATTTGTGCATGCATGGGTGTGTTATGTGTGCTTGCATGTGTGCTTGCATGCGTATGTGCGTGTGTGTGTGTGCATACGTGTGTGTGTAGCACTGATATGTCTTATTCTCTACTGTCGCCACTTGTCATTTTGTCTGTCCATCCTGACGGTAAAATGCTCAACACCTGTCATCGTTCAACAATTTGCTTCTCTCTAACTCAAACAGACAAACCCATCTACACATCGACTCTGGAAGTGATCACCACAGAAATACTACAGACAGAGTTCTCACCATTCCTCACCACAGACATCTAGCAGTCTGAATAGACAGACAAACACACCCACACATCAATAGATATACGTCATTCTCAAACGTGGAACACACTCAGTCACTCAGCAAGTCACACTTATACACGTAACCCCAGTGCTCATGCCCAGTACCTATGCTGAGTAACTTTTCAAAAATCAAATCCCTAAAAAGAAACAATTTCTCACTAAGATTTCAATTTAAATAAAAGACATCCTTCGTTTCTCTTCCAAAAAGCTGGTAAAATAAGACAAGGCAAATATTTTCCTATAGAGTCGCAATAAAACACATGATGTATACATGATATGTCATGTTTATATGTGTTATGAAGACACTCGCGCGGAATAACATTCAAAATCAAAATCCCTGACAGGTAAAAAAGTTCTGAATAAGATTTTCAATTACAACACAGGTCATTACTTGCAATTCATACCCTGTTTCTTTCTTAGAATGCTGGTAAGATAAGATAAGACAGTTTTTCCAGTGAAGTCTCCACAAATCATATATACATATCTTATCTAATCATATTGTGTGTAGTTAGTCAATACTCCAGTGTGGTTTGCTCCTTCTTTCTTACTAAACACCTAACCTGTCTATCTCTCTTTCTCCTTTTCTTTGCAAGGTTCTCTCTCGTAACACCTCTAATCTGTGGGATACTTATAAGACCTATTTGCTAAAAGTAAAGTAACCTTATCTTTGCATGGCTCTCTGTGGTATCAGTATCCCCTCTAATCTGTGATACTTATATGACCTATTCGTGTTGCAAGTGCCATAAAACTCTTACAAACTAAAACAAAAGTAAACTTATCTTGGCATGTTGTGCACACCTCAAGGAAGAAAGGACACATGTGGTGGAGTGAGCCCAGCGATGGCGGTTTATCGTCAGAGTCACGTCGGAGGTGGGAGCGACGTCAGTGACCGAGAATGACGTCAGTAAGCGAGGCTACACCGGCCGTATGACCGTGACCCCAGCGTCGCAGCGCGATATGCTCATCGACTTGCTCATGGTCTTCCAGGCACTGGAGGCAGTGTCGTAGATCTCCAGCGTGTCCAGCAGGATCTTGCCGTCGTATCTGCAGCAGAATACACAACAATTTAGGGCGTTCATATCTGCAGCGGAAACACGCAACAATTCAGGGCGCTTAGAACACCGGATGATGAAAGAAAGAGACGCAAAAAAACATTTCAAATGGCCAAAACTACCAAGTTTTTCTTGCAACTGTGTCAATAACAAACCCCCCCCCCCCCCCAAAAAAAAAACAAGACAAAAACAGAAAAAAAACAGCACAATGTACAACAAATATTTTATTTTGACTCAGTGAATTTTTCTCTCTAATAGACAGAAAGAGTAGACACAAGATATTTTAAAAGGCGAAATAACTTAAATCTAAGAAAGCATTAGTGAAGAATTTTTTAAAAAAGAAAAAGATATGTCAAATATCGCACAAGAACACACAATATCAACACATCAAATAAGCGCGACCACTCACCCAGCCACCACCATGAGCTTCCCCTGGAAGACGCACGCGCCCACGTAGCAGCGCGGCACCAACATAGAGGCCAGCGTGCTCCAGTAGCCGGCGCGCGTGTTGTAGCACTCCACACTGGCCAGGTGGTCGGCCCCGTCGTAGCCCCCACACACGTAGATCACGTTGTTCAGCACCGCCACGCCCGCACCTGTGGAAGTCAGTCAGTGAATGTAGGAGTTGAACACCCCTTTCATTTTTTGACTTCTTTTATGTCCATATAAAAACATATTTCCATGTACATTTTACTGAAAAACATTGATTAAAGGCATACAATATGCCATTTTTCTGTTTTCAAAGACTCTTTAGCTATTGGAGTTACCAAACATTGGCAGCCATTTTCTCGCTAATTTTACCTCTGAAACAAGGCGACCCCCACCTTCTTCAATCGCAAATATCTCAACTTCTGTTCAAGATTGGTGGCTATTTTATTCATTGAAAACAAGACAAAAAAACAGGCTTTAAGATTATACCACCAACTCCATATACCCCAAAATTGACGAGCGCCTGATTCCACTGCATCGTGACACAAATGGGGTCTCCAATAGGCCAGGGCCAAATGGGTTGACAGCCTTTCTAGGGCTAGAATTCAGTGTTTTCACAGAAATTTACGTCAAACACAGAAAAATGGAGATAGTATAAGATTACACTATGCCAGCTTAGTAATAATAATAATAATAATAAAATAATAATAATAACCATAGAACAATAATAATAATATAATAATATAACAATAATACAATAATAAAAATAATTATAATAATATTACAATAAAACAACAACAATAATAATATTGCAATAATAACAATAGATATCATTATTTCTCATTATCCCTCGTCGTGCACACACCTGATCTCTGCGTGGTCATGGGAGGAATGTTGCTCCACTGGTCAATCAGCGGGTCGTAGCACTCGGCCGACGACAGCAGGTTGGTCCCGTCGTAGCCCCCGATGCAGAAGATCATGTCACTGGCCACCACCAGCCCCGCCCCCTCGCGGCCCGTTGCCATGGCGCTCAGCATCGTCCACTGCTCTGTCAGAGGGTTGAAGCGCTCTAGGCTGCAGTGACGCGAGTAGCCGTCGAAGCCACCGCACACGTACAGCTGGTCTGTTGGGGACAATAAGAATGATACAATTATAAGGATAATAAAAAAGTAACAACAATATAACATATCAATAATGATGATGTTGAAGCACTCCAGGCTGGAGTGACGCGAGTAGCCGTCGAAGCCACCACACACATACAGCTGGTCTATTGGGGAACAATAATGATAATAATACAATAATAATGATGATAATGAGAATAATAATTATAATAATAACTATAAAAATAATTTTTAAAATAATAATAATAATAATAACTATATAAATTATAATTTTAATGATAATAATAATTACAACTGCATGTCTATAGCCCACATCCCAGCTCTACAGATGGAGACAACAAGGGGAAAAAGAAAAGAAGTAAACCCTACTAGTGACGCCCTCCAACCACTCGTGTTTGACCTAAATGTTCTCTATATTTCCTCCAACTAGGTACTAGAAACTAAATGTTCAAAGTAGCTGTATGTCAAATGTATCTGTTCCATATGAAAGGCCTAAAGGTCAAATGTATCTGTTCCATGTGAAAGGCCTAAAGGTCAAATGTATCTGTTCCATGTGAAAGGCCTAAAGGTCAAAATCTCCTGAGAATTTTGGTACCCTTCTTTAACATCTCAGTCAATTTTTCAGAAAATGGTAGTTGTTTTAAATATGACAAAATTTGTTTAAGTCACGTGCGTGCGTACGCGTGTTCCATTCACCCTTGTAGACACAGATCCCGGACAATCCCCGGTGTTGGTGCATGGAGGTGACCGTCTCCCACTGCAACTTCTCCTGGCCAAAGTCCAGCTTTGGTGGTTGCGCGCACGTGCATGCCTGCATGTAAGTGTGTGAGTACGTGCATGTGTGTGTGTTCCACTCACCCTTGTAGACACAGATCCCGGCGAATCCCCGGCGCTGATGCATTGAGGTGACCGTCTCCCACTGCAACTTCTCCGGACTTAATTCCAGCTTTGGTGTGTGCGTGCATGTGTGAGTGTGTGTGTGCGTGCATGTGTGCGTACATGCGGTCCACTCACCCTTGTAGACACAGATCCCGGCCAATCCCCGGCGCTGATGCATCGAGGTGACCGTCTCCCACTGCAGCTTCTCCTGGCCAAAGTCCAGCTTCTCCACGAGGCTGAGGCGAGACTTTCCGTCGTAGCCCCCCACCACGTACAGCTTGTTGGCCACTGACGCTGCAGACACGTAGCGACGCTTGCGGCTCAGATTCTATGAAGAAGACAAACAGTAAAAGTATATTTTGACCCCCAAGACATGTAGCGACGCTTGCGGCTCAGATTCTAGAAGAAGAAGGAAGTGGTAAAAGTAAATTTTGACCCTCTGCGTTCTTAAATAAAAACAATAACAAAAATAATAATAATAATAATCATATTCATATATCATAATAATAGTAATAAAAATAATAATAATAATAATATCCATTAACAATAATAATAATTATAATAATATTCATAATAATAATAATACTATTCATAATAATAATTATAATAATAATAATATTCATAATAATAATAATAATTTATATATATATATAATAGTGGTTGGTTGGCAGGTGCTCTGGTGTGGTTTGCTTCTTCTTTCCTATGAAACCTCTATCGTCCTTATCTCCCCTTCTTCTTTTTTATGTTTGTTACTCTCTTGTAACACCTCTAATCTTCTGGCGCTCATATGACCTTATGCAGTTGCGAGCGCCGTAAAACCTCTACTAAAACTAAACTATATATATAATAAAAGTGTCGTCTACACATGATGTGTCACAGTGACCCAAACGTGGAACCACAGAGAGTGGAGATCATGGACACGCTTACTAACATAACAAGCGGGAGTTTCAATGTACCATACTCCTCTTTTTAGTGCATCAGCAGTAGGCCGAGTTAAAAATCAAACGAAGAGCATAAAGTGGCCCTCTGAAAGAGGCTTACAGTACCAGCACCACTACACCCCTTCCCCCCCCCCCCCCCCCACTCTTCTGAAGAGTTAAAAAAAAAAACAAGATTGGAAACATAAGATTAAAAACTATTTTCAGAGAAAGGAGTCTTAGAAAAAAAAAAGGGATCGTTTAGTTTTAGCAAGGTCTTACGGCGCTTGTAACTGCTTTAAGGCACCCCGAAAATAGCAGTTCACAAGAGAGTGGCACACATGCAAAAGAAGTTGAGGATAAAATGAAGATAGTAAGGATGAGGAAAGGTGAAGACCAGACACGCACAAACACCACAGAGGACCCCACCCAGTTCAACTACAAAAGTCACCACCAGATAAAACAAAAAATGAATAAATACTCACAGGTAACTTGGTCCAGGAATCTGTCTTTGAACAAAAACTCTCCACGGTATCCACGAGGTTCTGATGGGATCCGAAGCCTCCCAGGACCACCAGTATACTGTCTGTGCCTGCACACAGCGAGAGAAAAGTTAGTTTTAGTCAGAGTTTTACGGCACTGGAGGGGGAAAAAGAACATGTACGTCATATCTGCGTGTTTAATTTTGTACTTATGTATACGTGTTTGCCATTGTAAACCAAATTTCTCGATGTGGATCAATAAAGCTGAATTTATCATTTTTATTATTATTTATTATTATAATTATATATCATTTTTATTCATTATTTGGTTGCTTTTAAGTACAAGGGGGCTATCCGAAAAAAGCTGTTTTGAGAAAATCGAAGGTAAAGTTTTTGCCCCTTGTTTTAATTTCTTTAAAAGACAAGGAGAGTTTTCTCTATAACCAAACAAATATACACACCAAAGAAACCAAACTTTTATAGATAGGGCAATGCCCACTTTTAGTGTAGGTCAAGATTTCTGGAAACCACCAAAATGTGGATTAGCCCGCTTGTCCGTAACACTTTGCGGTCACTTGTCGCAATAATGCGGCGGTGCCGGTGAAAATGATCCCTTCTGGTCACACTGCACCAGGCCCGAGAAGTCCTGCACAGTCGCTCTCCTGGCTGGGTGACCAGAAGGGGTATTTTGTACTATTGGCTGTGTGACTGCTCTCCTGGCTGGGTGACTAGAAGGGGTATTTTGTACTGCTGGCTGTGTGACTGCTCTCCTGGCTGGGTGACCAGAAGGGGTATTTTGTACTGTTGGCTGTGTGACTGCTCTCCTGGCTGGGTGACTAGAAGGGGTATTTTGTACTGCTGGCTGTGTGACTGCAAAGTGACCACTTGTAACCAAACATGTTTCTGGCCACACACACACACCTGCTCTGGGCGTGGTGTTGGGTCCACTCAGCTCGTCGCGTAGGTCAGGCCTCAGGTGGTAGCGTTTGGCCTCATCCACCAGGTCCCGGCACGCGTGGCTCGTTTTGATTAAGATCTGGGGGAAGAAGACGCAGTAAAGACACATCAGTTGAAAGCCCTCCTTTACATGGTGAAACTATCAATAATAATAATAAATTTTTAAAAAATAAATTACTCTTTTATTTGTCCCAGAAAGGCACTTTGTTTTACAATGGCAAACATACATACATAAATACATAATTATAAATACGTACATACATAAATACATACATGCATAAATACATACATAAATACACACTATTACACAAATACAGAACAGTTTACAAACAATGCCACTGTCGGTCGCCACTGTGCAGCGCCCTGTAATTTGAGCTAGGGTTGTCGTGTCTTGCTCAAGGACACACTCCAGTGACCACCCATCTGATCCCCGTGTCACCGACACTTGCTTGACATTGCTTGAGTCAAAACTCACTGCTCACTTAGCCACTGGAGCCCCAACACGTCAGTTGAGAGCACCTCTTTACATGATGAGACTATTCCTACAGCCAACAAAAACAGATATGCTCAACTGTTTAGGAGAATAAAAAGGTACAGTTCTACATGGAAGAAGAAAGAAAGAAAGAAAGAAAGAAAGAAAGAAAGAAAGAAAGAAAGAAAGAAAGGGAGAAAGAAAGGGAAAAAGAAAGAAAGAAAGAAAGAAAGAAAGAAAGAGGTAAACAAGGAGAGAGAAGGAGAGAGAGAGGGGTTAACAGCAACAAGCATGATAACATTGATAGATTTCGTCAGGTACCCATGTGGACAATGGCGACACTGAAAAGTGTTAAAAGAAGACGACTGCACCAGAGGACCCACCAACCATCGAGAGGACAAAAGAAAATAAACTTTTAAAAGTTTTCAATATAATTTTCCTGGCTAGTGTGCCCGGTTCACAAAGTGAAAAACAACTAGTGAGCTGACTGTTATCCTGCACTGACTCAAATTCCTGATTTTGGGCACTTTGGGTCCCAGCTGTCAAAGGCTGCTGTAAAAATCTCACCTTTGTTATATTACACCTTTTTAACAGAAGTCCAATTGGATTTTGCTGTAATTCCTGTCTTAACCACAGAAATTCAGTACTTTCAACAAACGTTTTCCCAACAGAAATTTAGTACTTTCAACAAACGTTTTCCCAACAGGAATTTAGTACTTTCAACAAACGTTTTCCCAACAGGAATTTAGTACTTTCAACAAAGTGATTTACATCAAACCTGGAACATGAGCGGTTGGCGGGTGTTCTGGTGTGGTTTTCTCCTTCTTTCCTATCAAACATCTATCGTCCTTATCTCCCCTCCTTCTATTTTGTGTTTGTTACTCTCTTGTAACACCTTTCATCTCCGGCATTAATATGACTGTATTGTGTCGCAAGTGCAGTAAAACTCTTACTAAAACTAAAAAACCTGGAACATGGAGTCGGTACAAGATAGCAAGCACACAATTCACAACCTGTCAGCGGGCGCGCACCCACCTCGTTATCCAGGACGTCGGTGATGAAGTGTACGGAGAGCAGCGACAGACGCACGTGGGTCAGAAGCTGCGGCAGATGTTTCAGCCGTACGGGCTCCTCGTGTTTGACCCACGTGATCACCCCTTGGTACACCGTCTCCTCGCTCTTCACCTGTAGCAACAAGTCAGGAATATTTATAGTCACCCTTCACCTGTATCAATAAGACCAAGAGTTATCAATACTTACACTCACTCTTCACCTGTATCAATAAGACCAAGAGTTATCAATACTTACACTCACTCTTCACCTGTACCAATAAAACCAAGAGTAATGAGAGCTTACAGTCACTCTTCTAAAACCACATAATAACAATAATAATGTAAATTAAGAAAGAAAAAAAAATTTTAATGTAAATTTATATAATAATAATGTACATTTACATTGCGTCTAACCCCTCGATTGCTTTAAGCGTTGTACAATGCAGAATATCAATAACTAAAGTCACTATTCACCTCCACTGGGAAGAACAACAGTCATCAATGAAAAGGTACGGAGTCACTAAAAGAGTAGCACAAGAACAATGCAGGTTGTATATTTGGTATAGAAAAAGATATTACAGGATTATAAGTGTCACCATTATTATTCTAAACCACACAGTTTGAGTTTATTTATTGGAAGCACTATACCACCATAAATGCCATAGCATTTCACTATAAGACGGATGGGTGGAAGGGGAAGGAGGGGGGTGGGGGGGGGGGCGGATAGAAGGGGCTGTGAAAAAAAAAGAAGAATAGGACCCACGTACCTGCAGATCCTCACTGGCCACCAGAGACTCGACTTCTTCAAACTGCATGGTCTTGAACTCCTCGTTCTCGATGACCGAGTGGAAGTGGCGCAGGGAGAATCGCTCGGCGGCGTGGAGCAGAGACTGGCAGCTGTGGCTCTCGGCAAACACCTTGATGCCCAGACAGTTGCTGGCATCCAGCTGACGCTCCAGGAACCTGCAGCACGCGTTCTTCACACCTGGGGTTGGCGGGAATAATAATAATAATAAATAATAATAAATTGCATTTATATAGTGCAATGTCACTAAAGAGTTTTTTTGTTTTTTTTAGTAGAGGGTTTTACGGCGCTCGCAACTGCATAAGGTCATATGAGCGCCAAGGCGTGGGTGTCAACAGAGAAGTCCTTACAGGGAATCAGACTTACTCTGCTCACTTCTCTAGCTTCAACAGCACAAGGTCTGCTTCGACTATCAAGGCACCCTGGAAATAGCGGGTCACAAGAAAGTGACAAACACACAAAAGAAGTAGAGGAAAATGACAATAGTAAGGATTAGGAAAGAAAAAGCAGCAGTTCCCTGTTGCAGATCAGGCACAGTTATGAGCGTGACATGAATCAGCCCATTTACAATTCTACTGTGCTTGAACGAGAAATGTCCCCTCTTTGGGAATGGCCTAAAGACACTTCAGTCAGTGGCACTGCCCCAGGGGGTATGTCACTAAAGACACTTCAGTCAGTGGCACTGCCCCGGGGGGTATGTCACTAAAGACACTTCAGTCAGTGGCACTGCCCCGGGGGGTATGTCACTAAAGACACTTCAGTCAGTGGCACTGCCCCGGGGGGTATGTCACTAAAGAAATGCTCAATGCGCTGTACAATACTACAAAGAACATAGATGCAGCGCACAGCTCCTATAGTAATCCTCTTTCTCTGGGAAGGAAGTAAATATCGTTGGCGTCGCTAACAATCAACTTAATTAAGTCTGTTCGGATACTTTTTACACTAGAGACAAAAAGCTGAGTTTGTTGTGTTGTTCCTATCATGAGAAATAAAAAGCAAGAAAATTGTTAGGCTTGACCATAGCATTAAACTGCATTTTGGTGATGTTGAAAGGTGCATCTTTCATAGAGCTTTGGGAGGGTGTAAAAATAATTTATTTTTTCCATATTTGGGCTTAATGGATTGCTTGGAACAGCCATGATGTGGGCGGTCGAAATTGTTCCAAAATGACCACCAACAGTCGAGGAGAGAGGTGGTTGTCTTAGACAGGCGGATTTCTGAATGGGAAGAAATTCTTATCGAGTATCTTGGTCTTTCTGCTGGGATGTATCCCTCTCAGCCTAGTTCGGCCCAGACAGGCTGGGTTGGAAGCCCGCCTCCTAAATGATCTGAATTGTGTCAATGGGGGCGTAAAAACAACTACATTATTATTTTCTAAAATAAATTTTTCTAAACTAAAAGAAAACAAGCACCTGTGCTTGGTAAGCCACAATAAGAATAATAATAATAATGATAAATAGCCCTTGTATAGCGCAAATCCCCGCTCAACAGCAGGCTCTATGCGCTTTACACTATATTATTACCCCAGAAGACCATAGAACGCTCCGAAACATTCTCAGCTTCCCGGGAAGCATACAGTGCATACAGTGCAAGCAGCTGATTAAGCGCTCAAACACTAACAAACTGACAAGATCTCTCGCTGTCTATAGCCGGGTACCCATTCCCACCTGGGTGAAGTAAGGAAAATTCGTGTAAAGTGCCTTTCCCAAGGACACAACGTCGGGCCCCTGACGGGATTCTAACCCACGACCTTACCGTTGCGAGTCCGAGAGCCTAACCACTAGGCCATCGACGACAAGAATTCGAAGTCAACAAATGTCAGTCAAGTAAGAAGTAAGACATTTGGTGGACTGACCGAACGTGCGTGGACTCACCGGTCAACTGCAGCAGACAGGCGGCGGGCAACAACTCCTGCACGTTCTCCACGCTGACCTCGACCGTCTCCGTGTAGACAAAGTCCAGCAGGATCTCCATCACAGACGCTGGGATCTCCAGCAGGTCGATCTCTGACTTGTCTTTTTCCTTCATCTATGGGACACAAAGACATACCACATTCTACCATTTTAGGAACCGAACGATATCACAATATTTCATTAAAAATATCAATTTTTAGCAAAGAGTTAAAATAATCAGAACAAGTGAATTTGAAACTCATCTTCATACAGAAAAAAAAATAATAGCACACATAAAAAAGAAAGCCCGAATCTTTATTTAAGTAGGCCTACGCTAGCAAGGTTATTCTGTATCAATAAGAAAGGAACTAAAATCAAGTTAACCACAATCTCAATAGCACAGAGGATAAAAGAAAGCCAGAATCTTTATTAAGAAGGCTAGCAAGGTTTATCTTTATCAATCAGAAAGGATCCAAATAAAAACACAATCTTAATAGCAGATAAAAGAAAGCCTGAATCTTTATTACATATTAAGTAGGGTAGCACAGTTGATCTATCAATTAGAAAGAAACTAAAATCAAGTTAATCACAATCTTAATAGCACAGACAAAAGAAAGCCTGAATCTTCATTATATTAAGTAGGGTACCACAGTTGATCTTTATCAATTAGAAAGGAACTAAAATCAAGTTAACAACAATCTGTTAATATAAAAATGCTTCGACAGCGAGTCATTAAGTCACTTACTGAACTAGTGAACATAGCATTGAAGTAGTCACTGCTGGCCGCCAGGACGATACGATGTGCGGGGAACCGCTGGTTCTCCACCCTCAACACGACGTCGCACAGCTTGTTGGCCTTGCGCAGGGAGTTCATGGTGGACAGGATCTCTTTGGAGTGGACGTCAGTGAACATCTGACAGTCCTCCATCCTGTCTCCTGGGCCGGGGGACAACCCTGGAACAAGAATAATTTAGAATCATCATAAACAAAAAATAAGTTCTTTTATATGTGTAATTATCACTACTTTTAATTTCCATTTCCCTTTTTCTTACATTATATTATTATTATATATATATAATATATATATTATATGATATTATACTGTATTATATTCACCATTTCCTTGTTGAATCTGTTAAAGAAAATATTTAAATATGGCCTACATGATATAATGTAAGCCCTCACCTTAAAAACTTCACAGCATTGAGAATGCTACGATGAGAACATAAATCACGACATGTAAAAGAGAATGAATGAGTTAAATGATATTGGGGGATATATGATGTACCACAGCGACCATAAAGAAAAGAAATTTATTTGAAATTTAACATTTATATATTCTCAAATTAAATATTTTTTAACGGTGATTTAGGCCTACTGCACCAGCAGACCAGCATGACATGCCATGTTGATGCACATTTAGAATAGAGATTTAAAGTAACACGTAAACATTAAGTTGGGGGGGGGGGTGATGCACATTTCCGTTCAGACCGTGTGCCTACCTCTACACCAACCCTTGGATTGGATACAAAATACAGAAGTCAAGTAGCAGTTCCCTCCCACACAGCAAACTCAAATCATTCAGTCACAGTACTCACAGTCACTCCTTAAAGTTACTAGACTCTAGATCATCTAGATCTAGATCTATCCCCGGCGCCTTTTCGGTAGTTCCCACCCCGCAATTGTATTCGCTGGTTTTGGCCTCAAGAGTAGGGGGGCTGCCCCACCCAATAAAAATATGGAGGGGGGTTCCCCTGAATTTTAAAATAATTTGATGTTTTGCAGTTGCTAGGTTAGCTATCTTAGCTCACCACGAATCAAACGTATAGATCTAGATTCTAGATCTCGATGTAGATCTAGGCTCAACAAATAAGGGGGGTGGGAACTACCGAAAAAGCACCTTACCCCTGCCCCTAGCATTAAAACAGTAATCCAACCCACCTATATGAGAAGTAGTGCAGTAAAGACCTATCTATCAATTTAGGCATAGGCACTAATAACTAATCTAATAATACTAATGACTGGTGATGATTTACCCAAAAAATAGAGACTGCTGTTTGTGTTGATAATCAGATAATGAATAATAAGACAAGAGATCACCGACAAGAGTGCCTACAGTAATTTACACTTCAGCCTCAAACGGCAATGACAACAACGGGGCTAGTGGTCTTAAATCTACTACAAGAAGACCAACCTTCCAAAACAGTCCGTGCCACTGACAGAAATAAACTCTATGGACGATCTGAACAATGATAACAACCAGCTTCTTCCTGATCAAGTCGTCAGACACTGTGTACTGTGTGTGTTCTGTTCTATTCCAGCAGAACGGATGCAGAATTTGGCCCAGAAGAGGCCGAATGTGTTTCGCGTTTTTACTCGGACAACTAAAAAGCGAAACTGTAATTATCGGTTACGGCCAAAAAACAAAAACAAAATATAAGCCCTTATAAGTTTTTATTTTTACTTTTTCAATAACATTTATTTCTAAATCTTAGGCCTCAGTTCGTTGATATCGTTTTCTGATTTGGTTCACCCATTTAGGTTTTTTAAATTTTCAGTTTCCAGTCTATAATTTCCCTTCTTTCCGATATCTTAATAAACTGAATGTTATACATTATACCATGAACCTCCATCCCGGAAGAAGAAGAAGAAGAAGAAGAAGAAGAAGAAGAAGAAGAAGAAGAAGAAGA